CCTTGCTGTCAGTAAGTTCATTGTTTGCCTTTCTCTGTCCAAAGCCAACTTCCTCATTGCAGAACTCTGGCCTTCTCTGGAACTGGATAGACTAGCCTACATTTGAGGCACTTCCAAACCTGAGTGATGGAGCATTTAGTTAAGGAATAACAACAAGGAAGAACAATAATAAAAAATAAGTGAATATTTGTTAGTTATATTGTAGGTCTAATCCTAGAGAAGTAAAGTATGTCTTACGTGGTGGTAACTAGAACTCTGATAGATGTACACCTACACCAGTTTAACATTTACTGTCACAGGTTGTCCTGGCAGTAGCAATAAGGCTGTCTCAGTGCAGCACAGTCAGTCGTGTGGTCAGCACAGGAAGGCATTGTTAAAGCTGACAGAGATTGACAAAGCTGCCAGTGCTTCGGTGCAAATGTACCAGCTTTACTGTCCTTGTGGGAAAGAGGATGTCCTGGCAGTGGGTGTATGCTGGTTTACTGTGTTTGACTTCCAGTTGGCTCAGCATTGTTGAATTGTTTGCAAGGTGTTCAAAGCACCTCTGAAAAATATATCAGTGACCTGGCACTTGACTATTTTGAATGTGGGTGTACCCCGGAGGTTGCAGTCTGCCCTTGGGTATACATGTGATTCTGGGGAAGGCAAACTTTTCAGTCTTTACTGGGAAGTGATCCATATCATTCCCACTCATTTGCACAAGTCTCCAGCTTAACAGTACTCACTAGTTGCCCTCTGAATGTTGCTACTTAAGCCTGGATAGTCCTTCCAGTTGTGTGGCATGAAAATTATGACAGTTCATGTTCTACCCCCCTGAGGTCTTTTGTTTTTAGTTGTTGTTCTGTGGAGAAGAAATGCAAAATAGTATTAATTCAAGTGTATGATGCTTCTAAGTAACCTTCCTGGAAAACCCAGCTGTAGGAGATGGAATGATGGTGCAAAGTGAAAGAGCTTTTCCTCGTGGGAATTCCCAGGTTGGGGTATTTGCTGTATCACCAAGGGGAGAAAGCAAAGCAGAGCAGGCCTGATGGTTACATCTTTCTTTGTTATGAGCTTCCCCGATGAATTTTTGGAGAAAAAGGTAACCACATTTTTTAAAAGAAATTCCATACGAACTTTGCAGACTGTAGTAATTAGATACATAATAATAACCTTGTGTCCATATTTCATAATTTAGCTATGCATTTAAACTGTTCTGTCAGAGCTACTTTTTTACCATGATTAAAGAATCTTTGTTTCACTGAGCCCAGTATTAATGTGCTCCAGATTCTGTTTCTTTAGAAGAGTAACAGATGTTCACAGTTTGGTGCAATTTTCAGATGAGCAATTCTGTTTATAATGAATTTTCCTGAGACCACCCAACTCATTTCACTTGTAACTTGAACTATATCCAAGTGTTGATCTCAGGAGATGTAAAAGAGATGTAATAATCTTGTGCCCCACCCAGTTCAAAAGACATGACTTAGTATAGATGGAATTTAAATATCTATACTTTGAATCTACATAGAAAGCAAAGGTTTTATCTTGTATGCCATGAAAAATGGAAGTGGAAATAACATTCTTGCTTTTATTCATCAAGTATTCATAGGATCTGAAAATGTATATTGACAAGGTCTGAATGAAAATTATAAAACAAAGATGAACAGGTGAAAAAGCACAACACAGGAAGTAAAACCAAAGAAATTGAGATTTATCCTGGAAAATACAGATTTATTAACCACAGAAAAAAATCAGAAATGTAGGATTAAATATATCTTGGGATGAGATGTAGGGATGCAACACAATGCATCATGTCTTGTCAGAAACAGCTGCAATAAATTTTGTGCTGCATAAACCAAAATATAATGTGATTTAGATCTGTCTCTATCTGGGACAATATATTTAGTGTCAAACATTTAACATAAAAAAAATTAATTGATAGGGTTTAGGGATGTTAGGAAGCAAGTTTTGAGGAACTCTGGGTGACAGAAAGTGAAGCTTCAATTCATGTATCTGCATTTATAAGAAACTATAGAGTCAGTCATTTGGAACAGCTCCTAAAGAAAAAAAGAAGCTCTGAATGACTTGAGACCATGAAAATTAAACAAACAGTTTTGAATTGACAGTAACTTATACTGAATGAAACAGATTTTTTTTCTTTCCTGACATTCATTGTACTTTATACTTAACATTTAGTGCAGTGTTATTTTGAGATTATAAACTGAGAACTCAGAAAACTGCACTGGGAGGTTCCTATGGCAACCATAATGTGCAAACTATCTATGTGAACATTATGATCACGGTAATGTGACACCGTGGTGTTGAGTCTTGCTGTTTGGCAGGTATGTATTTTACAACATGAGTTAAGTGATGAATGTAGATAGTTACAAATGACATTAAAATCAATTATCTGTGTTGGAATTTTTTGTTTGTTTGTTTTGTGGTTTTTTTGGCAAGATAATTGCCTACAGTGTAATGCAAGGAATATCTTTAAATTTTTTGAAAGCACCTTGGTTGAAGGGTTCTGAGCTGCGTATATGTATATATAAAAAAAGAAACCATATAGAAAACTAGTATGTTTTTTAGGCACAGAGAATACTCAGCTGAGGATTTTCATAACTGTGTGCAGTTGTGTCACGACAGCCAATGTGTGAACGCTGAGGTTGACGGGATGCTGTGATCCCCCTGCTCTCAATGGCTTTTGTGTTTGCTTAGCTGCTTGCCAGCAATGAAGATGCTTTTTCAGCATCTTCCTTTCAGCTGAAGCCAGAAATACCAAGTGCAAAGGAAACAGTGCTGCTGTGACAACTGCTGAAAGAGATATTTTTTTTTAGTTAAAAATAAATAAATTCATTAATCATTGCACCTCACTGTTATCTTTTTTTTCCCTCTCTCTTTTTCAGCTAGTGGCTAAGGGCAAACTGCCTCTTCAGTAATTCTTGGGTGCTGGTTGTAATGAAATTCCACACTTTCTCATTTGAAATGAAAAAATATTTTGTCAGTGCCTTGGTTACACATGCTGTGGTAGATATTAGAAACAATCTGCTTTTTATAGTCTTATAATAGTCTTGACTTGAATACATCCCTGACTTTTGAAGAGTGACCTGCCTTGCTTTACAACATAGAACTTGTGCTTTTAAGCCTGAACTTTAAATCTTCTCAATCTCTACTTTTTGTTTAGTTTTAAAATAATCTTCTGAGGAAATCAGTTGGTTGCTTTGTTGTTGTTTGGGTTGGTTTTTTTTCTTGTTTTCCTTAATGAAAGTAAAAGAAATGTTGAAATTTATATTAGAAAATGTATGGGATGTAACCTTCATTGCTGCTCTAGCTCTGTTTCCCAGGAAACGGATCAGAGCAGCATGAAATTTATCTAAAGCTCCCAGATCCGGTGCAGAAAAAGTGAAGGCATGTCTAAAAACTGTCTTTTAAGGCAGTGACTGCTAAGGACCTTTTACAAAGCTGTGGTGTGAGAGTTTTTTGGAGAGTGGAGTCTGAGTAAAAGCGGGGGAGACTTCTGGTGGGACTGCAGTGCAATTCTGGGCAATTCTACAACCTTCACTTACAGTTACTCAGGAAGGATGTATTAATTTAGACAATCCATTCTCATGGGGACCACAAATTCTTCCTGGGGTTGTCAGATTGCTTGTGATCCAGTGGCTGCAAAGGTGCCTTGGAAGTCCCTGGACTTGTGCCACTGGGGCTGTGAGTGTGGGCAGGTGTGGTTTCCACCTGCAGTGTGACTGTGCCACACGGCAGTGCCAGAATGCTGCCTCTGCTCGTCCTGCTTCTTGAGGGGAAGAAGACAAGCTATAAACCCCTTAGTCTGGTAGATCCTCACCTACCTTAAAAGTTCTGCTGTCCCATTGTTTTATCTGTGGAAAAACATTTGACTTCAGAGCACTGGATTTATAAAAGAAAAGCAAAGTATTCAAGTATTGTGCTTACATCATTGTGTAATGGTGAAGCTTCCTGGTGGACTACAGTGTCACACTGAGGTACTGCAGCTATTATTGAAACTGGAATAATGTGGTTTTTTCTTTGGGTAGGGAGATTAGATTAGCACATGCACCAGTTTGGCAAAACCCCCACATTAACTATTCTTACTTTTGCTCTTTCTGAAAAGTTCATATAGCGTGGCCACGACTGTGTATTTTTTAATTTACCATCTTCTTTAGGGGTTCTTCTGTCTTCCCTTAAAGGTATGGCTTCAGTCTTTCTCCCTTATGTGATATTAACTTTGTGTTCTGCTGATAATGAATTTGACATAGAGCTGGTTGAGAATTTTCCATCAGAATGAATTTCAACTAGAAATATCTGTAAAACAAATCTATCAAAAAAGAATTTTTACTGATTGTAATAAAATTCCTTTTTTAATAGGCAAATCAAAGCATATTATTCTGTTGCATGTAGTTCAAGCTGATTGGTAATAGTCTATTTTATGTAATTGATGTCAAGGATTTTTATATTTGAGTCAGTTGCAAAAACAAAACTTAGGAAGGCACACTGAAACTATTTTTGATAGCAAGTGATGAATTTTGTAAAACTTTTCTTTCCCTTGAAAAAAATGGAGTGATTTCTTTCAAAAATAGCTGAGTTCTCTGTGTGAGTGATAGATGTAAGCACATTTTGCATGTGTTTCTAAAGACTTTCAAAAAGAGAATGTGCTTACAGGGATTTATTCAAGTGTTGAGATGCTCCTGTCCTCCCGTTGTGAAAGGGACAAATATGTTACTTAATACTTGCCATGTTAAGAATTAGCAAGCAAGGGAACATTATTTTAAAAAGAAAAATGCAACTTTTTCTAATTCAGTAAAGCCTAGAGCTTGATATTAGCTTAAATACAACCAGGAGATGATGGAAGCCACAGGAGCAACTGAGAGTGTTGTTTTGTTGCACACCAGTATTAATAAGCATTAGTAAATATTACTAACCAAGATTAAAAAAAAAAAAAAAGTTAACATGTTTGTATTGTTATTTTATACAGTTATAACCAATTTCAAATTTGATCTTTCCTCTTTCAGAATGATCAATCTATGCAAGATATGCAGATCATGGGAGGAGATGATCTTTCAAAGCTGACTGGGAAGGTTTGTTACTTTTAAATTTAAGAAAGAAAATAAATCCATAAAAACACTTGAGAAAGTCTGTGTGATTTTGCACATGGACTGTCAGATACTAATACTAGAATCAAAGGTATTTATTAGTCTGTATTAAAATGCTGTGGTGCCGTTGCTTTCAGATCGCAGATGCCCCAAAAGGTCAGAATGTAGCCCCTCCATCCTAGTGCAAGGAGTTCCCAATAGTTATGCACGTACCACTAGTGAGACGGTGGGCAAAATTTGTGCGGTAATATTTCCCCTGAGCTCCCCTGGAGCCTTGTTGCCTTCAATACCTTCAATGCAAGCAAACTGCACATTGAATATCCCTGTTGAATTCATCATATGAGTTTAGTGCCATTTTGCCTACTGCACAAAATTCCGTTCTGGAACCTTTTGCTCAGAGAATCAAATGGGATTTTTAAAATTTCAACATCAGGCTGGCTGTGTGACTGAATCTGCACTGTGCTTGACTGTTGTGGTAATGAGAGTGGTTTCAGGCAGTGAAAAGGCTATTTTCATCCAACTGTGGCAATACAAAGCAGCACTTTGAAGAGGAAGGAAGGCTGATTTCATTAGGCAAATGGTCTGTGTGGAAAATGGTCAGAAAATGGAGTCTTTACTTATGCATTAAGGCAACATAATACTTATCTTGTTATTTATACTGTACGTGCAGTTACTGTTTTATTAGCCTGGTACCAGATAATATCAGGTTCTTCAAAGCACTCAAATGTAGCACTAGTAAACTCATTTATTTTGTTGTACTGTAGCAAACAGGAAAAAAAAAGAGAAAAATTTAACTTTAAATGTTTTCATTAATATTAAATAGGTTTTGATGCAACTAGAAATTAAATGGAAAAAATGCTTTTACACTCAGAATATTTTAGTGATACATGTGCACTCAATTTACACTTCTAAATACTCCTGCTGGGTGTTGTTTCCAAATTACCACTAAAGCATAAACTATGTTCTTGGAAAATATTAATTAATTTGCTACTTTCTAATATTCAAACACTGGAATTACCTGTTTTTCTGTGATGATTTTGCATGTTTCTCTACCTCACAGACAGAACTGGCAATGCGCCTATTCATCTTACCAAATCTCTTTCCCTTGTAGTCCAAATGCTTTCTAAACTTCCAGGCCCAGGTCCCCTTCACTGTCTTCCAATCCCAAATTTTCTTGATTAATAGCTCCAGTTATTATTATTTCTTCCAGACATAACACTTCTAGTGTAATTTGAATTCTCTGGGGCAAGACATTATTTTTTTCAGGACTTTTGTGTGTTTGTATGTGTCCCTGTGTGCATGAGAGAGAAGGAAAGTTTCATCCCATTTAGTTCTGCTCTTGTCAAAAATTAGGTACATTGTTGTCTTAAAATGAAAATCCTGGTAACCTGTTTCTCATTGGCTTGGCTCTCCTGTTCCCAGGTATGGAATGGGACACAGAATTCAGCTGTTGGGAGGCCAGAAAATACTTGGGGGGAAGACTGAACAGCAGCATAATTTAAATTTGTTGGGTAAGGAGGCTGGGTAGGTGTGAAGGGGCTGGTTTGGGAGCAAAGGTGGTTGCTGCTCAGGAAGGGAGCCCAATGCTGGAAGGTGGGTGTGGAGGCTGAAGCTGAGCAGGAAGGGGGAGCTTGGACTGCCAGGAAGGCAGAGCTGCTGAAAGGGCACGTTCGGCGCTGGTTTGTAAGCATGGCTGGCTGTGACACAGCTGATGTGTGAATATGAAATAGCACTTCCACTATCACATGTGAGAATGGGGTTTCCTTAGGACTTGCTTTACTGATTGGAAAGTTGGAATGCAAAGCTTAGGCTCACATGTTCATGCTTTCATGTCTAAAGTTGGATTTGTGAAGGAGTGGCCTTATGTCCTCGGATGCCAACTCCTCCATCTGTTGCTGACTTCAGCAGTTAGTGCAAGTATTCAGCACATTTTACTAATCAGCCATTTGTGGGCTGATTCAGAGCCTCCTACAGGCCATGGATATCTTTCCTTAAAGTGTTTTTTAGTACCTCACCTTAGCTGCTGGCTTTTAAATCTGCTGGCTTTAGGAACCATCCAAAGTCACTGAGTGAATTAGTTAAAGACTTACTGATAGAATTCGAATTCCCTGCTATTGAGTGAGCTGGGTGCTGCTTCTGCCTGCTTGTAGTACTATTAAGAAAAGATTGTAATTATATTGAAAAATTCATATACCAGAATAAGTTCCATTAACTTGCTATCATGGAAGGTGTTTTCAAAAACACCAGCATGGGTTTGGAATATTGTAAATTCCACTAAGTTTTGCAAAGTTCAGAAGCATCAATGAATGTAGACAATTTTGAAACCTACAGACGAAAGATCCTGAGATTTTGATCTTAAAGTGCTCTTCAGTAAGTAATAATACCTGGAACTTCAGCTAGCCTATGATCTTAGTGAACACTTAAGGCACATTCATGCTTTACTTATTATTGGGGAAAAAAGATTAATGAGTGAACATGCTGGTATATAACAATATTTTTTTTTTCTGAGAAAGCTTAAAGAAAGTAGAGAATTTTAAAAGCTAATTAAAAAGAGGCTGATAGGGATAATAGCTCTTCAGAAAGAAGAATATCTCCTCTGTACTTCTCTACAATATGCTTTTGTTTATAAAAACATTATAAGCCTGGGAAAAATATATAATGACCCAAACCATGAAAAAGAGAAATATTATAAAAGAGAGTTAGCACACAGACCCAAACTGCCCAAACTGTTACTTGAAGAAAATCATCCCATTTGAAATTCTTCTTCTGTGAAGGTCACAGAGGCAAGAATGAAGTTATCCATGGCATGAATCATTAATAGAGGTACTTGAAGAATGACTCCTGATATAGCTAAACACTCTTATGCTTTGTAACCATTTCTATGCAGAAAAAAAATATAACTTAAAAATCTCTCCTTTAATGATGTAAATGGTGAACATAAAATTCTCAGTAGCTGATTTCATAGTTAAGTAGCTGCTTAGGTTTCAATTTACTTTCAATTACTTTAAAGCTGAAATGCTCATTTGGGTAAAATTTATCATTAATGTTTGTAAAGAGGAATAAATTTTGAAAAGGAGAGATCAATAAATTTTGAAAAAGGGAGATAAATAATTACTGTCCAGAAAATTGTTTCAAAGCAAGATGGCAATGAAAATTTAAGAAGATGTGGTGAAAGAACAAATACTATAACCCTGTTTAGTATTAAAACTGTAATTATACTGTATAATACTGTAAAAATTCCTAACATATTTTCAAGTATTTGTGTCACTTAAAGTAAATTTTAAAGCATCTAGAAACTTCAGGAGATTCAGCTATACCAGAGTTTTGAGTGTCATTGCCATTTATCTCTTATACTTTTATGTATGTATATTTTTGTCTGAAGAGCTTTGGAGCAGGTTCTGTTGTTCAGAGTCACCACTGACAGGAATCATTCTGTATATCACTCCATAGGTAAAATATGTCTTGTAATCTTTCCAAAAAGCTCATATACAACTTTGATGTGTCTCCTTGCAAATGAGATAAGTTAGGCAAAATCATAAATTTAGAATTTATATAATTTTGCAATTAAATACTTATTACAGCTGTATAATGTATTTGATGTCAAAATTAGATCCATGTATTTTTGTTATTTTCACTATTTTTTCATAACATAGAATGTGAACAAAATTAATTATTACTATTTGTTAGGTTAATAAGAGCTTGAATTAAAACAAAGTAGTTATACAGTAAGTATAATACAATTTTGGAGCCAGGGAATTTCTGATATTCCATCTGTCGATGCTTATGTTCTTTATGAATCCCCCTTGTTCATATGCTTGTTTACAGCCAGTGGTTTTGACATTTTTGGAGAAGTGTAGAAGTTAATCAATAGCAATCAAGGAAAAAGAAAGTGAATGTCTGTAATCTCTTTGCACTTCATCATGTTAGTTTGAGCACTCCATCACCACTCTGGTGGTTTCCTAAAATGACTGGTCAGCTCATACCAAAAAGAAGTTTCACGAGGAAGAAGATATCCTCCATGCAGCACTTCTCACTTCCTTCTGGCAGACTTTGTGCAACAAAATCTCCAGACTTCCTTCATATGCCTCACCTAAATCAATTTTGTCTACAATTTTCTTGCTTTGCTTGTCATTTGGGAGGATGGGAACATAATGCAATCTCACTTTCTTTTCTCATACCTCTGATTTCTTTCATACTTTACTGAAACATTTTCTCTGCATGTCATAGGCTCTAGCAGTAGTTCTGAGAGCTGTTTCTCTAGCATTCTCCTAAATATGTTAGCACTTCAGTGTTTAGTAAAACATACGTGTGGCAGCTGTGTAACACAATGTTATATTCTCTAGTTTAACATACATATTGTACTCACTGTTCCAAGTTTATTTCTCAGAATTCTCTTGGTTCTATACTTATTTTTCTCTCCTTCAGTATTCACTGCTTTGACTAATGTTGTGATTTTTCTCCTTATTTGTATTCCTTTCCAGAATAATGTCCATAAATTTGCAGAAAAAATAATGGCATTATTTATTTAGAACATTGTGTACATGAGAGACAATTTCTATGACAGCAAAGGTATACAAAATCCACTATATACTTCTGCAATAGTCATGTCCCCCACTCAGCATCTTACTGTATTCCTATTAGACACACAGCCTTGCCTTTTTCAACTTTTCAGAGGTTGATTTTACGTGTCTTGAAGCATTCCACATCTTCAGTACCTCTGCTGAACTGCCATCTGTAGTCACTTCTGTTGTTCTGCGTTTTTTCTTAATTAGATTTGATATTCTGACAGTTGCCATCCTTATCTGCTTTTTCCAAAGCCAAAGACATATTTCTTTGCACTTCCTTCTTAGGTAATCTGTTCTACTGCTCGTCATTATTTTCTTTTGTTGTTGTTGTTGTTCTGGAGGAGGAAAAGTATAAAAAAAACTTCCCAGCCTTCCTATCCCATTTTTCACATGGGCTCTGCTCAGGCACTGTCTACCTGCTTCTGCA